CAATAAAACAATACTTACCATGGCCCTGGGACCTTGGGGACGCATTATTCAAATAGCCTTGTGTTTTTCTGTATTTATTTCAACATAACAAGTCGCATTCAACATTTAAGTCGACAATTTAACAAGATGAGGTCCAGGACGTGAGGTTTTTTTTTAAAAAAATGGACATGGCACATGTCACTTCATCTGCTTCCAAACTCAAAATGTGTTCCTTCTGAGTCGTGCAGTGTAAATCGCGCAGCCTCTCTAATTAGATAATTTTAGCCCTAATGCTGTGGACATAAGAATTACACAATTTTCCTTTGAAGCGGTGGTGCTGAGAAGAATGGAAAGGAAGTTTTTTCTTGGGAAGTGATTAAAAACAAACACACCAGAGCTTGGCAATTTACACCCACAGTTCCCTTTTTCACTCGACTCCACTCCTTTGAGAACCAGTGCTCAGGGCGCCTCAGTCACAGGACACCCAGATACTAAGTTAACTGTGGTCTTCAGTTTAAATATTTATTTTTTATTTGGAAAAACTGGCTTCCATTTGTCTCAGCATCTTTTAGAGACAAAGTCAGCTAAGACACTTAGTTGAATAGATGAGAATAGCATTTGACTACTTTCAATTTCCATTTATCTTAAAATTTAAAAATTTTAAAACTACAGCTTAAGTGAACCTCTCAAGTGCATTGAATAAAGGAAAAATACCTAAAAACTGCTTAAATACATATTTTCTCTTTTTTTTTTTTTTTTTTTTTTTGAGCACTTAAGCAACCACGATATAAAGTTCAGGTTAAGTAAAACGTGGAAAATACATACCTAGTTTACATATTCTTATTCTATTCAAATATTAACACAACCCTACTCCCATCCCCAGAATACTGACAAGATTTTTAAATATCCTTTTACTTTTACTACTAGAGAGAGAAGCTAACCCCCCAAACTTTTCAAACAACAGAATTTCCTTGGCCTTGGCAGTTTTCCTGTGTCCTGGTGCCAACACTAGGTAGGAAGAAAAATCTAACATGTTATGTTCAACAGCAGCCCAGCTCAAACCTCCCAAAGAGGGAATTCAGTGTGTTTGCCACAGCTTTATCCTGAAGAGGAAACTATGAGAATCACAGAACTTCAGAGCCTTAGCACTTTCATCATAATGCCCCTCACCACAGGTGTGTATTCTGAGCCTGGCAACACTCCCCTTGTTGGTGGCCAAAGGGGTCACGACTAGGTGTCCAGGGTGGTGGCATTGCCCTCACCACACCGGTTCCATGCGGTTTGTCCACAATACTAGATACTGTGTCCTGGATTGTGCTCAGGATTAAAGGCCCAATTAAAATACCTTTTAACTAGATGTTTGTAAACCTAAAGCATCCAATCTGCTTTAAAGGGGTTGGAATGAAAGATGGCCTGGGTATCCACTGTTCATTGCAGATAGGAAATGTGCAGTGTTGATAGGAATTACCTTCAGAGCCTGGGTTCTGGATGGTGCTAGAGAAATGGCTCTTGGGTTTAATGTTGATGTTTCACTGGTGACTGTTTCCCACGGATGAGTTCAACCTCCACTGGAAGCTACAAGAAAACCGGAAAACACAAGCTTCTAGCCTGAATGTGCCTGCCGTTACCTCTCTTTAGTGTGTCTTGAACACTGCCTGGACACACGCCTGATATTTTATAGCTCAGAATTCCAGGGCAAGAATTCCACTTTTAGCAACAACCTGATAGAAGGAAAGCAGGAAAAACCCCTCAGGAATCACTATGTGGAGTTACTAGGGAAGGATACTGAACAACTGACAGTAAGCAAGAAAACAAAGAGTGAGGAAATAAAAAAGAGAGGTAAGTACCCAAGGAGAAGATTTTACTCATCAGTAATCACGAAAATGAACACGGGTTGTGATAACAGCTGAAGGAAATTTTCACCAATACGTTTCCCTTACTTTATTCCAGCCCATGTGACACAAAACCTCATTAGCTTCTACGAGGAAGGTGTGGCTCAGTATTCACAGACATTCTGAAGACACGCTCCTATCTGTAAGGAGTGCAGTTGACAGTCTCTTAGCAGCGACACATTTGGAAGCAGGACTGAGTCATGCTGACTACCACTTTCTCCGAAATACCCGATGCCTGGCTGACGCATACGGGCCATAAGCAATCTCAGGATCATCAAAGAAACCGACCACCCCTCCCCCCAAATATCCCTTTTCCCAACGTTCCCTCCTGTATAGACAGGGCCGGGCAAAAGTGGGTTTCCAGTAATTAACAAATAAATAATATGAGAATCAACTCTGTTCTGCACTCGCAAGGGCGAGCCTGCCTTTGCCCTCCCCCTATGCAGCGGGTACAACTTAGAACCGGATTTTTTTTTTCTTAAACTTTTGCTGCCCCCAAGTGTCCCTTTAGAAAACTGAGTGTTAAACCTAAACTGTTCTTTTAGCGCCTCTCCTACGGCGTTCACAGTTGAAATACACAGAAGGGCAATGAGAGGGACACTCTAATTATCCTAAGAGCAGCAAAGACAGGGAGGGCGAGAGGCGGAGAAAGGTCGCCTCCTGCCACAGATTCCTGACATAATCTCCGGTGGGTACGTAACTTCCCTGCGCCTCGGCCTCTTCCGATGTCAAACTGGGTGTCAGGGTGGTGGGATGGGGAGAGCGTGGGAGCCAGATTTTCTGTAAGGCCCCCTAATACGTGGTTGCGTGTAGTCTAATATTTGAGGGTAGGAAAGCCTGGCCGCCCCTTGCTGGCGGTCGCTTTGGAGGCATGCCGGAAAGCTCACGAATGGATTTCCCGTTTGGTCACTGGAACCCATTACCTGGTCCTCCGTCACGCTGGCAAAGCTGCTTCTCAGGGTCTAACTGTCTCTGAGCCTAAGGGGGGAGGGGGGATCTGCTTTTGCTAATGACCGATGCTTATGCGGGACACTGCCTGTGACTGCAGAAACGAAAATGGGCTTCGGTGTTGACAGTGTGTCTCCGCAGCAGGTGCTTCTACAGCTCTGGCTGCTTCTTAAATCTCCTCTGTAATGTCGTGATGGACCTAACAGAGCCGTTCTCTCCCCACGTCCTTGGTAATCAAACCCCGATTTTGTTCAGTTATCAGGCAACCCCATGTTTCCAGAAGGGCTGGGTCCCTCTCTTACCCAAGAGGATCAGTCTCAGCTCATCTAAGAATTAGACTGGTTCTCACCCCTCACTTTTTTTTTTATTTTTAAAGTTTTTTTTTATTGTTATTACTGCTTTTTAAATTGCTGAGGTGAACTGACATATAACATTGTTAGTCTCAGACGCACAACATAACNAATTAGACTGGTTCTCACCCCTCACTTTTTTTTTTATTTTTAAAGTTTTTGTTTTATTGTTATTACTGCTTTTTAAATTGTTGAGCTGAACTGACATATAACATTATGTTAGTCTCAGGCGCACAACATAATAATTGAATATTTGTATACAGGTTGGGGTAAAAGTAGGTTAACAGTTTATATGGAAAATAATACAATAATAAATAAAAATACAAGAATAAACTGTTTCATGTACTCACAACGGTAAACCTGCTTTTGCCCCATCTTGTGTATTACAAAGTGATCACCACAATGTCTAGTTAACATCCATCACTACACATAGGTACAAAAAATTTTCTTGTGATGAGAACCTCTAAGATCTACTTTCTTAGCAACTTTCAAACATACAATACAGTATTATTAACTTTAGTTGCCATGCTGTACATTACATCCCCAAGACTTATTTTATAACCGCAGTTTCGTACCTTTTGACTTCCTTGCACCCCGCCCCCCATTCCCTGCTCCTTGCAAACACCAGTCTATTGTCTGGATCTATCAGCTTGGTTTTGTTTTTTGTTCTTTCAGATTCCACAGATAAGTGAGATCGTATGTCTCTCTGTCTGGCTTAGCATAATGCCCTCAGGTTCAAGTGGCAGGATTTCCTTCTTTTTTATGGCTGAATAATATTCCATTGTGTGTCTGTGTTTATACGTGTATATATGTAGTTACATACCATATTTTCNCTATTGTCTGGATCTATCAGCTTGGTTTTGTTTTTTGTTCTTTCAGATTCCACAGATAAGTGAGATCGTATGTCTCTCTGTCTGGCTTAGCATAATGCCCTCAGGTTCAAGTGGCAGGATTTCCTTCTTTTTTATGGCTGAATAATATTCCATTGTGTGTCTGTGTTTATACGTGTATATATATGTAGTTACATACCATATTTCTTTTATCCATTCATCAATCGATGAACATTGAGGCTATTTCCATAGCTTGGCTATTGTAAATCACGTGTAATGAACATGGGAGAGCGTAAATCTTTTCGGGTTAGTTTTTTTTTCTTCTTCAAATAAATACCTCGTAGTGGAATTGCTGGATCATATGGTAGTTCTATTTTTAAGTTTTCGAGGAACCTCTGACTGCTTTCCATAGTGGCTGCACCAATTTACACATTTACATTCCCACCAATAGAGCACAAAGGCCCCCCTTTTCTCCACGCCTTTGCCGTCACTTGCTATTTGGTCCTTTTGATAACGGCCATTCTAACAAGTGTCATCACCGCTCACTGTTTATCAGAATCTTCTGGGAACTCTATAAGAATACTGAACCCCGGGCCCACCTCCAGAGAGTGTGGTTAATTGGTCTAGAGTTAGACAGCTTTGGAAAACTTTCCAAGTGTTAGTGTGCAACTTGGGTTGAGAATCGCTTACCTAAGCCAACAGCAGTCATTCCACTCCCCTGTTTGGTGACTGGTCTAGGAATGAGCACAGGTGCAGTTTTCAGCCTCATCAGGGGACATCTGACTGGGGTTGGGGCATCTGAGGTTGTTTTCCTCATTCTCAGGAAGGAACAGAAGATAAAGCTGTTTTTTTATTTTCTCTTCGGGGTTTTGGTCGTTACTCTGTGGAGATATAAGGAATGTGATGTCTGGAACTACTGCAGCCACATTGTGACCATGAAGTAAGTCCCCACATGCAAGGTATAGCAGAGTGGAAGGAAGGAAGGAATTCTAGCTCTTTGATGGCCTTGTTAAGCTGCTGAATTAACGGGCCCTGTAGCTGTTCTACCTCAGGACTTAATGTGTGACTATGTGAATAAAAGACATTTAACTTAGTTGGGACCCAAATCATCCTGATACACTGATAATTCTTAAAAACACACATTTTAAATTGGGTTCCTGAAACTATGTCCATAAAAACCCTAGAATCCCTTGGGATTTTGCTAGCATTCTCTAGGGATGTTTTATAAGTAGGATTTTGTATGGATGTGTACATATTTACATAGCAAAATGAGTGAAGATATAACTTCATAATATTATTCCTTTCATTTCTGTCTTCAAAGGAAAGCAGCTCATTTATTTGCAAATATCAAACAAGGACTGGAGCAGAGATGACCTATAAGTGGAAAATTTCTTATTTGGCATAAATAAGATCAAACCTAAAAAGGAAACCTTACAGTTCATACAAACTTAATACCTAAACTGTCATAATGTGCACAACTGTTAGTTTTTACTACCATTATCTTTTGTGTGATTATTAGTGATATAAACTTTCTTACCACTTGCCTTGAATATGTAAATCATTGAAACTTTACCATCATATAAGGTTTCTCATTGTTTCTTAACGGTTGTTTAGCTTTAGTGCCTAAAATGTTTGAAAATCCCTGTACTCAAAATACGTTATTCTTTTGTCCTGGCCAGGGGGCTCAGTTGGATGGACATTGCCCCAAGCACCAAACGGGACATGCCCATGTTGCAAGCCTGATCCCCAGCAGGTGTTTTGGAGGCTCTCCTTTTACTCTGAGCTTCTGTTCTCATTTTCATCACTAATGTGTGCTTCACCGCTCGATGCACTGTGAAACCCTTTTCATTTGTGTCTTATTTGTTGCACACATAAAACACTAACTCAATAGTCATGCACCCAATGCCCAGGATTCTAAGTCGTCTCAGACGCGTGAACCCTACTTTGAACACCGCGTCTTGGTGTTAGAGCTTCCATGTGCTGGCTCACTGTGCTTGACAAAGCAATGTCGCACGTGAGTGCACGATCCGTTGCTTGGAAGAACTAGGTCCTAGTCCGGCATTCTTGTATGTTCTAAGCATACCTGTGTGCTAGTAAAGCATGCATCTTCAATGCGAGTTGTACACATGTGGACCCTGAAACGTGTGCATAAGTATAGGAGAGAGAGCACTTTTAGCCTGATCACCATCTATTACAATAACATAAAACTTAAAAAAAAAAAAATTTCAAAAGCCCCAAAGGCAGGAAATACAACATTCCAGATTAATTTAAGTGGGTTTTCAAAACCATTTTCTCCATTACCAGATGGCCTACTATATAACTGAATAGAAAACAGACTTATGCTGTAGAAAATACTTTTGTGGCCTTATTTAAATAAGGATTCTGTTATTCGACTTCTTTCTCTGTGCGTGAAATGTATAGGGATTATTACCAACTGTAATGAGAACTGTCCGGTGAGAGCCACAGATGTGATGTGTCCTCAGAGCCAGGGGCAGAGTGACAGAGCCAAGTTTAGGCTGGTGGAGGAGCAGCGTGCCAGGGTCCACTCTTCATCACCAGGGTTTCATCACGGCCACAGTGATGCCCAAATGCCAGGCCCCACTCCCAGGCTGTGCCCAGGCACTCCCAAAGCTCCATCATCTGCTTAAATACAATACCTGCCCTTCCTGAAAACTGCCGCTCTCACAGGTCGGGCAGTGCTCAGCTTACAGTGTTTGGGAAGGTTCACGGGGTTTCTGAGTAGCCTGGTGTAAAGGAGAGAGACGGGCTGGGACTGCAAGAATAGGACCTAGTGGCAGCCTGGTCACAGCTACCTGTAAGGTCTTGGGCAAGTTGCTTCATGTCTCCGGGCACATTTCCTGACTTGTAAAGCTAGGGTGTTAGTCTGATGGTCTCTGAGGCCCCTTCCAGCTTAAAAGCCCCTTGAGTAAGACTCATTCATGTCAGCTGAGTTCCAAAACAACGCTGTTTTCAGAGCATGGTTCTAGAAATGAAACATACAACTACAAAACCACAAGTCACAAGACTAGGAAATACTGCCTAATGTATTTCGTCACCTTCAGATGAAAGTTAAGTAAGGTATTCGGTACATATGAGAGTCAACCCTAATTTTAGATTTATTGTTATTAAGCAAAGCATTTTCACTTATCTGTATTTCACTTTATACCCCAACTTATAAAATCCAGATAAGTTCTGCCTCACGTGGAAATAATATGCCGCTAAATCACATTACTGACTTCATTGAAGAGAGTTATACAAACACGTGCCAATAATATCCAGGAATATCATAAAAACTATGACATTTCCTGAAGGGAAGGGATGCATGCAGGCCTATGAATGGATTATACACAATAATCTTTATAGGCAAGTTTGCTGTTGTATTTTTTAAAAAAACAGGATTAGTTTTACCATGCTCTTCATTATCTACAAAATCCCCTAAGCATTTAACAATACTGCATTTGGATATGTAAATACACAAAAGTCAGATAAAGAATACATTTTAGCTGTAGCTACCTGGGCCCCCAAGACAACCCGAAGCCAGCCAATCCCTCCTTTTGCCTTTACACACAGCGATGGTAAATAGCACCAACAAATTTAGAAACTGTCCTATTTTCCAGTGCCTCCAGAGATTTGGTAGCTTTCCTTTAGAGCATTTTGCAATACTTAAGAATCCTCAATGCCTGATACCATTTTATTCAATCTAATCCTTCGCGTAGTGGTTTATATGCAATTTCTTTGCCTTGTTTTCTCTGGGTGAGACGTAGGGAGCTGTTGGGAATCTTCTTTGCACAATAACCCTTCTTCCTCTTAGTTGTTATCTCTAGGTGAGGGGATGTGGCGTGGTTCTTTCGACTTGAGTCTCTTCCATGTGCCAGGCACTGCTATATATTTGGGGGCTAGCACAGTGAAAATAAAGGAAAACCACCCCTGCCCCTGTGGAGTTTATATTCTAGAGGGGAGGAAGCAGGCAGGCAGCAAGATAAGGAAAATATTCAGTATGTTAGATAACTATGAAATGAAGGAAAGGGAACCATAAATGAAGAAAGGGAGGTAAGGAGTCCTGGGGGTGTGGGATTTGCAATTTCAATAGGTGTGTCCCTAAGGATAAGATGACATCTGCAGCATCAGGGAAATATTCCAGGCAGAGCAATCAGCAAGTGCAAAGGCCCTGTGGCAGAAACATGACCGGCTTAGGTGGCTGGAGTGAGAGAGCAAAAGAAATAGCAGTAACAGATCAGGCCAGAGAGAAAGTTAGAAGTAGCAGGGGTCACAGTGCAGGTCCTCGTGAGCCATCACCTTTTTCTCTGAGACAGAGGACAGCCTTTGCAGGGGTTTGAGCCAAAAAATGACCTGTTTTAACTCGATATACATATACATACATACACACACACATATACACACACACGTATGTGTGTGTATATGTGTGTGTGTATTTTAAACATATCGTTATTCATTTCAGAGAGAGGAAGGGAGAGGGAGAGAGAGAGAGAAACATCAATGATGAGAGAGTCATTGATTGGCTACCCCCTGCTCACCCCCTACTGGGGATCGAGCCCGCAACCTGGGCATGTGCCCTGATGGGGAATCGAGCCTCGATCTCCTGGATCATAGGTTGATGCTCAACCACTGAGCCACACCGGCCAGGCTAACTCATATTTTAGCAGGGACACCTTGGCTGCTGTGTCACTGTAGGGGGACAAGTATGGAAGCAGGAAAGCCATTTGGAGGCTGTAGCAATTACCATGAGACTGGTTCAGATCGCCGGAGAGTGCTTGCAGATAAACAGGGAAAGAGGCCCCGGCCAGGTTTAGAATCAAGGAGATGCAAGGAAGCCAGCAAAGCCCACCTGAGGGGAATGGCCAAAGAAGTAGGAAGAAAACCAGTGAGCATGGACTCTGGAAGCCGTATTTCCAGAAGAGGGAGTAAAAACCTGTGTCAGATGGTACGAGGGCTCCCTGAGCTCAGTGAAGACAGAAAGTGGACCCTTGGCTGTAGCCATGTAGAGGTCACTGTCTGTGGTGGAACCAGCAGGGGCATTGTGATCAGGGAGCCCTGCAGTTTCAGACAAATTCACTACATAACACTGGATACAGTTAAGCAGTTAATCTCTTTGACCCTCAGTGTTCTTGCTACAACAGGTATAATAATTCCTACCTCAGGGTGGTGAGAACCTAAAAACATAATGTTAGGGAAGCTTGTGTTAGTGGCCTCAGGCTGCCGTACAAAATACCACGGACCGGGTGGTTTAATAACACGACTTTATTTTTTCACATTTCTGGAAGCTGCAAGTCCAAGATCAGGGTGTCATCATGATTGGTCTCTGGTGAGGACTCTCCTCCTGGCTCGTAGACTCCCACCTTCTTTCTTGCCCTCACTTGGCCTTTCCTCTTTGTGCCCACAGGGAGGTGGGAGGGAGGGGGGATCTCTGGTGTCTCTTCCCCTTCTTATAGGGATACCAGTCCTTTTGGATTATAACCCCAGCCTTATGACCTTATTTAAACTTATCTCCCTAAAGGCCCTATCTACAAAGGCAGAGAGTGGGCAAGGACTTCAACATATGNTGTGTGTGTATTTTAAACATATCGTTATTCATTTCAGAGAGAGGAAGGGAGAGGGAGAGAGAGAGAGAAACATCAATGATGAGAGAGTCATTGATTGGCTACCCCCTGCTCACCCCCTACTGGGGATCGAGCCCGCAACCTGGGCATGTGCCCTGATGGGGAATCGAGCCTCGATCTCCTGGATCATAGGTTGATGCTCAACCACTGAGCCACACCGGCCAGGCTAACTCATATTTTAGCAGGGACACCTTGGCTGCTGTGTCACTGTAGGGGGACAAGTATGGAAGCAGGAAAGCCATTTGGAGGCTGTAGCAATTACCATGAGACTGGTTCAGATCGCCGGAGAGTGCTTGCAGATAAACAGGGAAAGAGGCCCCGG